CTACTGAATTCCTCATACATTTTAGAATCTTATTACAACTGGTCTTTTGGGCAACAGTACCAAGTGTCTAGATAAAGTGAAACGAAAGATATTTGGGGTGGAAACACTTGCTGTGCTCGAAAGACAACACATATTTGAAATGTAAACAAAGAACATTTCAGACTTTACACTGTGTAGCATTTTCTCAAATTTTCAGTCACCCATTTGCATGGAAAGAGCATAGTAGCAAGAAATAGGAAATTAAAAATAGATACAATACAGGAATGTGATGTGTTTACACGAAACTGTCAAGTTTCTGTGCTGCGTGACGCCATGACTGACGCAAAATCACGCAGAACGACAACGGTAATAATCGGCATTTCTGGCTTTATCTCTATCTTAAAATGGGATTGTATTTGGCAATTTCTCTGAGGTGAAGGTCAGAATAAGAGTATACACAATCACCCGCCGATTACACTTTCAGTATCATAATGTAATCGTTCGGATATTTTTTCATGAAACTAATTTAATTATCTTCATGTAGCCTTGTTCAATATCATATCATACGTGGGTATAGGGTGTACGTGTTATATTCTTTGAAAGTGTTTGTTTGAATAATATTTACAGAAGAAATTCACACATTTAGTGTAGTAAAGCATATATAAACCTTTCCACAAGTGTTAAAAGATGAAACGTAGGCATCATGTACTTGTACAACATGTATTTTAGTTCCTGTGATTTGCATAGATACAGTTTCGTATGTAACTCTTCGTCAGAATAATTTCCAATATCGAAGTCCAGTCCACGATACACCCTATCCTTTCTTTGCTGAACTGGCATCATGAAAGCAGTGTTAGCCATGAACGCCATTTGCGAGTTAACCACACTGTTAAAAAGTTAGTGGCGGTCCTTAGGTGTGTAAACTTAACATCACGTTAACAGCCTGTTAAAAGTTAACAGAGTTTTGAACAACAAGATAACCCTCTGTTATTAGGTAACAGTCGGTTAAATGTACTTAACGGCTGGTTAAAAGATAACCGAGTTTTGAACAACCGGGCCCTGATAGACGACAGTGTGTCTCTGTTAATGGTTCATTATGAAAAACTAAATGTTACTGTAGGGGTTGCTCAAGGATCTGCCCTTGGTTAATTTGTGTTCCTTGTCTATATCAATGATTAACTTGGAAATTTACAAAGTATCACAATAATGTTGGCCGATGACACATCAATCGGTGTTGCGGGAAAATATGTAAAATCCATAGAAGCAACTCTCAACTATGATTTAGCCCAATTGAATAAATGGGCAGAAAAGTGGTGTGGTGTGTTCTAACGGTATATCTAGCATACTTTAAGACATAGAGGGGGTGGTGGTGGTTCTAACGGTTATATCTCAAATACATGTAGAGGCGGGAGGCCTAACGGGTATGAACAACAATAAAAACTTTCATGCATTTATGACCCACATTTTCGAACCTTTTATCAGTCTCTAAAAGGGAGCTGGCAATAGATTTTAATGAGCTTCGTCCTTCAACCCTGGAAACCTTTTAATATGGTTGATTAATCCTTTGTCATTTATCAAAAAAAGTCGTGAGGTTATGCTTTATTGTTATAGATTTCTAAAATATATGGACACTATTGGGACGTTGGTAACTGTCATCAGACATTATTTGACGACATTTCCCATGGTTTGAATATAGCCGACTTTATAGAAGATAAATATCAGTTTACAACACAACTGCCTAAATCTTGGTATTTTCGAAATCAGAGAAGGGATATGCCGATATTTAGCTCGTTAACCTAGCATATTATGGTCACGAATATAATTTTCTATTTATTAACGAAGTCTTTAATGGCGGAAATTACGCGATAATCTACTTTCCAAGAAAGGCAGGCTCCCCGTCACCGTTGTATTTAGAAGGCGGCTTCTTAGAAGCAACGTGACGTCATAATATTGTTCATGATGTCATGTCACCATGACAAAGTGATATTTTACCCGGTGCATATCGCATGAAAACAAATTATCCCCGATATGTTTGCCCTCGTATGTTATATGCATTGTTATTATCATTCTTTGAGGTTAATGCCACCCGTTGAATTCTTTGTTGTATTTTGAGCGGTGAAACTAAATAAATGATTTCTTTGGTCTACCCATAACAATTAAGGTGTCAACTTCCACTGTATACCTTACAGAAAGAAGTTTTGACTTTACTTTGATAACGAGCACATCTGATCGATTCCTTGAAGCAAATGATGCAATTCAATATCATTTCTACATTTTATTTTAAATGCATCAATCAAATACAACAAATGAGGAGACAGATTGACTGCTATGTGGCAAGGAATAACCAGGCGCCAGCGATTTATGATATCCTTAGCAAATGTAACTTAAAATTCCCTCTCATAAAAAATACAATAATATGTAGTAATATGATGAAGAAAATAATACCAAGCAGGTTAAACTATGACAACGCAATATATGAATGTATGATCGAAACATAAATCATAATAAATCACATATGATTAAAACATTAAATCAACTTCAAATATGTCATTGCGTCAACATTGAAAAGCGTAAACAAATGATATCCTGTTATTTTGGGATATGCTATGAAGCACTTCAAAATGTAATAGAAATAAAATTAAATTATTGAAAGCTATTGCTCGTAAAATATGTCCTTGCGTCAACATCGAAAATAACTCCATAATGAAAATTAATTAACTTTAATTTTCGAAACATACACAAATAATCTCTGGCTTTTTAAGACGTGTCACGAATAATTTCACACCTGGTAGAATTAACATGAAATTATAGAAACCATATGCTAACAAAAATTTGAAAATTAGTAATAACAAAGCGTTTGTCCCAAACATATAGCCATTACCCCCGCCACATGTCGATATCTGAATGTAGCAATTATCCACTGTCTGACCCTGAAAATTATGTAAACGTTACCGAAACTGTCATCTGATGCCTTGATACAAAATGCGAACAAATTCCATCCATTAGGTTTGGAGATATCCAAGAATACTCGCTGTGACCTTGAAAATAATCCGAAGGTCACTGAATTCGACTGGCGTTAGACGATACTCCCAACGCATCTTGGTACTACCTTTAAGCAAAACATATTAATTCTGTCTTGTATTTTCGCACTAAAAAGTTAGACATGTGCAAAAGACTTTTCACTGTGAACTTAAAATGAGCACAAGTTGCCCAATCAATTGGTGTTGGGGGAATCCCGCCAATACACCTTGATATAAAATTGGATCAAAATCTATTAATACTTTCCTGAGTTCGCGGCTACCAAGCTTGGCGTGTGCAAAACTGTTACACCTTCGTTGTGACCTTTAAAATGACCTCAAGGTCACAAAATTCAAGTGGTGTCGGTAAATCTCCAATCTCCAGTCAATAAACCTTGCTACCAAATTTGAACAAAATCCATCATTTCTTTCTCGAGTTCTTTCAGTAAACAGAATGGGGAGTCATTTGAACAAGCGATTGTAGTTTCAAATTGCTTTTTTGTGCAGTTTAATATCTAAGTTTGTTTCTAGACGACTTCTACCAATCTTAAACATAGCATATTTTATTTCCTGGAGTTTGTGATGCATTTTATTGCAGATTTTACGTTTTTTGGGAGGACCAAGCCAAGATACAAAGTCTCACAAAATGGGATCGTGAGGCTGCAACATAGCAAAACCAATTTGCTTGAGGCTGACAGATAATATGTAGAAAAATAAAACATAAAATCAGCTGCATTTGTATCATATTCTAGGTGAGGCTGACTACTATTTGAACGCCCCTCGTAGTTATACCCGTTAGAACACCCACCCACCTCTCCGACTCTACATGCATGCAAGTGTGTTTGATATACCCGTTAGAAACCCACCCCCACTTTATATGTATACATATCAAAACCTCAAAAGATATTTGCGAAAAGACACGATACAGAGGACAGTTTATATCGATTATATATCAGGACGAATATAATTTTCGTCATTTAGCTAAGATTTGTCAATTCATTCTTGGGTTATCGCACTAACAAACCTGGATTATATTTGTCGTGTTCAGATTGTTGACTGACTGACTGAGTATGGTTTTACGCCGTTTTTAGCAATATTCCAGCAATATCACGGCGGTGGACACCAAAATGGGCTTCACAAAATGTACCCATGTGGGGAATCGAACCCGGGCCTTCGGTGTGACGTGCGAACGCTTTAACCACTAGGCTACCCCACCGCCCCTCAGATTGTTGACCTCACCTCACTTGGAAGTTAAACATAGTAAGTGAACTCAACGGACTCCGTTAGCGGAGATTTCTTATTATAGACAGAATTTGACTCTAAATATTTACTGATATTGAATGCGTTTTGATTTAAATTCAATTTAAATTTCAGCTCGAAGATTACCCAGTCTAGTTTATTCAGATTTTTACATCGACGGCCAAATGCTACAAGCAACGATGCAACAACAATTGGACCTTTATATTTGAAAGAAGAGATCTTACGAAAAGGACCAAAGTACAATGTTTCAAAATTTGCTGATGCAAATACATCATTTATGTATTTAAAACGAAAGTCTTCCTATGATCTGGGTGACCTCATCCAAGTCCAAATACATCTGTATGATTCACAAGGCATAAGAAAGAAATCTGGAGGTGATTTTTTGAGAGTGTGGATGGAAGACCCCAAGAATTCAAATTCCGTTTCCGCTCAGGTTTTCGATCACAACAACGGAAGATATACTGCTGTCGTCAAGGCTGTTTGGGTAGGACACGGCGCCATTAGAGCGTTCATTGCTACAAGACGAGAGGAGATTGTTTACTATTATAAAATATACGAAAAGTATGCCAGTCTGTGGATCACATATGCTGTATTCACAAAAAAGAAGCATAAAGAAACCAGCAGATGTTCAATAAGAGTGCCAAGTGACGAAAAGTCAGGAAATTTGTGCAATTTTACCATGAAGAACAATGGGTTCCCTTGGTACTGCTTGAAACCCCAAAACAAAGAGCTGACATGTAGCATGTGGACCTATTCCTCCTCTGGACTCACCTTCGCATACAAGCTAAACACCAATGAAGACAGCGTTGCACGCTGGTATGTACTCCACCCTTAAATATTGTGTTAGGATTGTTGCGCTTGTCTAGTTTGTCTCCAACCCAAAAATTATAGTAACATATGAATCGAGGATAGAAAATATTATTTTCTCTAAATAATATTGATAGTACCACCATGTTTGTCTTATTGCTGTTATAGTCACAGCCTAGGTGGGGCGGTGAGGTAGCCTAGTGGTTAAAGCGTTCGCTCGTCACGCCGAAGACCCGACTTCAATTCCCCACGTGGCTACAACGTGGAAAGCCCATTTCTGGTGTCTCCCGCCGCGATATTGCTGAGCTATTGCTAAACGCTGCGTAAAATCATACTCACTCGCTCTTGCTGCTATAGTATATGTTAAAACTGATGCGTATATTTTAAACATGATTGTAATATATGTTAATGGGAATAGTTTTTATCATGCAATGGAGGGTGTTATCGGTGCAATAAAGCACCAAATCTGATAAATATGCAAATTAGGCCAATACACGAACTACTTTCACAAAACTCCATGCACGCCATGCGAATCCTAAACGCTTTAACACTTCATTGATGACGTCGTCGCGAGTTTGCAGGGTATTAGTGATGACAGAGGTTCTGGAGTCGTTAGGCCTACTGCAGTAATTGACTTTGGAAAACCTGAAACGGAGTATTTCGTTCAAATTTAAGGTATGAAAAAAAATGGCCTACATTATACTTACGTCTAGGTCAGAGTTCACGTTTTATGGCCAAATATGGTTGTATCATTGTAGGTATTTAAGGAATGTTTACCTCTTTAGTCTTTACTACTAAAACTTGGAACACGATTTTCTCAACACATGCTAACACCTTGTAACGCGATCCGTGTTTTAGGTCACCTAAGACACCTTTGAAGTGACGAGTCTGTACTCTGACGCTTAATCTCTAAAAACATCATAATTTTGACAGAACTAAATGATTCCATTTAAACTGAAATGGAGACCGAGTGAGCATATAGATTCATGAAAATCTAAACTTGCTTTATTTGGGGCTAATGCACCGAATCAAGTGCTTTGAGGTGTCCCCGCCGTGAAGTGAAATTGCAGTATGTTTCAGGGGGCTATAAGACAGGCGTGCAGCATACATGCGTGCAGCATACAACCGCAATGGCTCACGATTATTCGACGTATATTGTACGGGTATCGCTGTCTGATGCGCGGAAATTTTATTAAAGAAATGTTAGTAACACTTTTATTAGTGATAAAAGTAGATTGAATAATCTGTTTCAAACCGTTTTACTTCATACAGGTCTTCCAGAGATCCTAATCCAGATATCCTACAGAAGTCTGTAAACGTATCCATAGAAAACGGTGAGTAATGGACCCATTTAGGTCTTTTAAGACATATAGCAGCAAGATCTTATCGACCACCCGTAAAAATATACGAAGCTTTATTAAAATAATAAATTTATGTTTCCTACGTTTCCATTATGTTACTTATAACAACTGTTAACATTGAATGCAATAATGTTTCATTTTCACTTTCAGCCAACAAAAGCTCTACAGAGACCTTTAGTCAAGTTGCGTGTAACAAGCTCCCGCCAAAGGTAACGTGGCAACGGAAGTCGCCGAATGGTTACTTTCTCCACGGAAAATGGCATTCATTACTGTGTACTGACACACTGCCTCGCACCATGGATGCTTACAGACAATGCTTGAAAGGCAGGACGCTCTGGCTTCCAGGGGATTCAACAAGCAACCAGTTCAAAACTCGTCTCCACGCCTTCTTGAAGTTCAAGTCACATTCATATGGACACTTACCAACTACCGACACAGATTCAGAATATAACTTTTCTATTTCTTTCCACGCTCACGAATTACCTTTCTATCATGGTAAATCGAACTATTCACGATCATCAAACCAAGCAGAGCACATCGTGCTTGACCATCTCCCGAACACTACCAAGGACATCGTTGTGCTATATCTGTACGTTCATTTCACGCTTGTCCACCCGGATGTGTTCAGGCAACATGTTCGAAGACTTGTTCCTTCTGTAAAGAACCTTTTGGCGAGAGCTCCTAATGTTAAACTTGCAATACGCGGGCCACATGCATTTTTCAGATCGAGAAAGCGTTTGCTATCTTACTGGGGACTTCTGTATGCTGATATCTGGCATGAAGAATTCGCTTCATTTCAAGACAACATTGTGTATCTGGATTTTTGGGATTTCTCCATACCAATCGGACATCACGACTTTCACCTACCTGGGAAAAAGGTGGATCAAATGGTTCACCATATGATGTCTTTGTTGTGTGACAGAAAGTAACACTAACTAAAGGTTTAGCGTAAAATGTTTATTCTGTTTTATGTTTAGGCAATAATCGGAGACAAAATGTCTGGAGGTCATGACACATATAGTGAATGCCAAAATATACTACCGGCTAAAGATAAACTAACACTTAGTCTCTAAATCTATATAGTTATGAGTCAACATAATTCTTCGTGTCAAATTCCTTTATCTGCATAAGATCTTTCGCCGTTCGACGGCTCTTCAGGTGTACAATGAAAACTAAGTGTAGTCATTGGCGACGCATAACGGTGCTATCTATGTCTTCATCATGCGTGTGACATTGCGGTTAGGAACAAGGTATGTGAAGCCTTAACTGAAAAACTACTATTGATATGTTCTCAAAGTGAACATACTCCCATGTCGTATTTGTCGGCTGAACATGAAGCATACTTGAGAAAGAATCGCTAAAATTTCAAATGACAGAGTATACTCAGTGAAAGAAAAGTCGCTTTCTTTTATGCTCACCGCACTAAACGCCAAAGTCGAAATTTACAAAGAATGGCTTAACAAGGACGAACCAGTACTGACACTCTAAGTTCCGATTCATAGGATCATAGATGAACCGTAAGAAGAGACCCATATACGCAAAGAGTAGGCCGTCCAAAGGTTAGAAATGGAAGTAAGACTCCTGGAGAAATCTTTAAGACTACCAAGATACGAATACAAATTCGTAGAATGGACGAATGCATGGAATTCGTATTTCAGGAGGAAGCTTCAGCGCCTCAGGTTCAGAGTTTTCTCGTAAAGTTATGGAAAGAAGACACTGAAAAGGAAGAGATTAAATCAGTAGAAATATGGAAACCAATACAGACAGACACAGCATCCACATCTCCAGGAAAGCTCTGAGATGCACGAATTGATCCTAACATAATCAATCTCTCCAAACGAAAATTAACAGATACGGAAATCACTTTATTAAAACGGGGTTTGAAATTTACGCCAACAACAAACAAAGAATTATTGGAAGTGGATATACATAATTTCTGTAGACGACTGAAACTTATGGAATATTTGAAGCCTCTGAAAAGGATGACTTGGTCAACTCCCAGAAATCAGTGATACCATACGTAAGTCATGAGTCTAATCGTCCCTTCGTGAGAAACAAAAGTACGTTTCATCCTGAACGAAATAGAGATAAACATCTAGATGAATTTATAGATACTGTCGAGACTTTCTAGTAAATAATTCCAACAGAGTAAGTCACAATTTGAGGAGAGCGAAGCACTCACAAGAATTTAACATTATCATTCTATAGTAGTCAAAGAGACTGATAAAGGTGGAGCAGTGGTTATTATGGATTCGGGGTTCTGTGAAACCAAATTGAATGAATTATTAATATATATAACGAAGAATTCTATCAGGAAACTGACGACCAGGAAGATGTTGTAGTGAAGAAAATGCATAAGTATGTAAAACATTATTCTGATGAGCGCGATAAAAGGAACAAGATTATTTATTCAATTACAATCCTGAAACCGCAATGTTTTATGGACTGCCCAAAATACACAACAGTCGAGAAATAGACTCAGCAAAAATGAAACGGAATTGTGAATAGGTGGAAATAAAGAACCCCAATGACCTAGCATTTTGACCTATCGGTCAAGACCTGAATAGTCCAACTCAACGTTTGAGTAACTTCATAGATATTATATTGAAACCACTCACAAAGTTCCAAGTTTTCTTCGAGATGATGCCGGAAGTCATACCTACAGATGCTGTTCTAGTGACCTTTAACGTGGAAAAATGTAACTCATGATCTAGGACTTGACGCGGTGCAGTATTGGCTACATATGCATCCAAATGCATTGACTGCAAATTCACAAATACGTTCATCATAGAATCATTGAAATGTAAACTGGGGAGCGATACGTTTTATTTCAGCAACAAATTTTATAAGCAAATAAACGGTTCAGCGATGGGACCAAAAGCTATTCTAGTGATGGGATATAGAGATGAATTGTTATATTCCAAAGTCGCAAAATCGATGGATATAAAAATTAGGTAAATATATTTGTGAAACATGGAGTAGATATCTGGACGACTGTTTTCTTATTGGGATCTCAACAGTGGTAGAGTTAAATAATTTTCGGAACATACTTGATTTGATTTCATTTCTGGTCGTGAAAATTGTAAAATTGTAAGGTAAACAAATGAAAATGGATATTTGCTTCAAGCTGACGGACACGCATCAATACCTGCAATTCACCAGAGGAACAAAAAAAACTATATTCCATATGCAGTGGCATGAAGAGTGTGTACTATTGCTTCGGATGTGGACACAGGAAAAATAGAAGAATTGAAGACATATCTTTAACTACCATACCATCTGGATACCCATCTGGAGTAGTTGAAAATGATGTACATAAAGCAGTAAAGGTCCCACGAAAAACACTTAAGAAAACAAAAGAAACAAATACAGAGACGGATATTCTCCTATGTCTTTGCACTAACAATCCTAATAATTGTACAGTTATGCCCATTATATGTATAAGAGCAAATCTTCCAATCTTGTATAAAAGAAGTACTTTGAAAAAAGGCTTATCTAAGAGGAAATATATCATCATCATCATAACACATTTGTAATGCGCTGGTATCCATGCAGTCCATGCTCAAAGCGCAGATAAAAAGTAACAAATTACACATTGATATTTGACAAGGCTATCCTGAACGAATGTGTTTTTAACTGGGATTTGAATATGACGAAGTCAGTACAGTCCCTGTGATTCTGTGGAAGTATTTCCAGGCCACTGGTGCTGCATAGGCAAAAGATCTGTTTCCATACTGCACTGTTCTTGTTTTAGGGACAACAAGCAGATTTTTATCTTGCGAACGGAGCGAACGAGAAGGCTTGTACAGAGAAAGAAGACTGGATAAATATGTAGGGGCAGTTCCAGACAGACAGCGGAAGACAAGGCAGAGACGTTTCAACTGAATTCTGAAATCCACAGGCAACCAGTGTGGAAAGTATAGAATAGGTGTGATATGATCATTCTTCCTGGATCTTGTCACAATGCGGGCTGCTACATTCTGTACTCTTTGTAGCTTTCGTATCTGAGACCCAACAGACAGTTGCAATAGTCAACTCTGCTCATGACAAGGGATAGAACAAGAGTTGTTGCTGTTTCAGTTGTCAGGTATTGACGGATATTGCCAATGTTCCGGAGTGAGATGAAGCAGGTCTTAACTAGATTAGAGACATGATTGTCAAGTGACAAATCTGAGCCTAGGATTACACCAAGATCTCTGACTTGATCTGCGAAAGGAATATGTGAGTTGTCGAACTCGAAGGAATCAATAGCACACAGATCCCTCCGTTTCACTGGACCCAGGAGAATAGATTCGGTCTTGCTGCTATTCAATTTTAGTTTATTTACTAGCATCCAGGATTTGATACTGACACAGCATTGGGACATGTCTCTCGAGGCAATAGCTGTTTGGTTCTTGTCAGAAGTGAAGCATTTGTACACCTGTGCATCATCTGCATAGTGATGACGATTCACACGGTGCTCATCAATTACGCTTCCGAGCTCTGTTATGTACAATGTGAACAGGACTGGTTCTCGCGACCCCTGTGGAACACCATACTTGATGCTGGCCGAGTCAGAGTAATGACCATCAATGATCACGGTCTGAACACGACCCGACAGATACGACTGGAACCAAGTAAGAGCAGTTCAGTTAATCGAGAAATCACACCTGAGACGATGAATGAGTTTGTCACGGTCGATGGTATCAAAGGCACTGCTTAAATCGAGAAGGGTTAATATTCCAACTTTGTGTTCATCAACACCACGCCTCAGATCACCGAGGACCTTGACTAGTGCCGTCTCAGTACTGTGATGACCACGATATGCAGACTGGAGATTGTCATACAAATCGTGTTGTTGGAGATGTTCTGACAGTCTATCACACACTGCACCTTCAATGAGCTTGGAGACATAGGTGAGGTTAGAAACCGGTCTATAGTTGCTAAATTCATCACAGTCCAGGTCTGGCTTTTTCAGCAATTGTTTTACAAGTGCTGATTTGAACACATGAAGCATTTCACCAGATTCAAGGCTCGTGTTGATGATAACCGTCAAGGCTGGGAGAAGGACGTCAAGGTTGTTTAACAGCACGGACGTTGGTAAAGGGTCCCGAGCACATGATATGGGTTAAATCTCTTGATCAGCTTGAGTACTTCCTCCCTACTGAAAGATCTGAATTTAGTGAGCTTCTGCTGATTACAAACACTACTGTCAATGGACCTACTGATATATTCTTTATTCCTCCAAAGGAGAGTTACAACAAGAAGGAAAATGTGTTCATAGTAACTGTTATTTACAAGTTACGATGAGGATGCAAGTTTAATGGTAATTTTCAAAAGTGTTAAGAGTCTTTCTGGAATGAATACAGGTTTGTAATGACAGTCTGAGCGTAGAGGTGTAGATCGCAAGTTTCTGGGGTGACAGGAGGTCTGCAGGACAACAGACATGCCACCATCTCTATGTCTGGTTTGGCGTGTAGTGCTACACTTACTTCTGGCGGGCTGACGTCAATGAGGGAGCACCACAGACTGTCTCTCTGGCACTGGTAGCTGGGACAGTGACAGATTACATGAGTCAGGAAATCATTATAATGCTGTCCACAGTTTGGGCAATCACCACACACAGCTCCTGGACAGCAGATCGCACACATGTTGACAAAAACGTTTGCAGCAGGCTTCAGCCATGGGTCGGACTTCGCCACATGCATGCCATGTGGGTGGAGATCTCGGATTTTATCCACATAAAATGATGAAGGTCAGGGTCAGAGGAGATTCGATCTCGCCAGCTGCTCTCTTCGTTCTTCTTCACTGCGGTTTTGACGATATTTTTCCACTTCGATTGACTTGGGAATGTCCTTGCTTTCAGGAAAGAGTTCAGATAATTGATAAATTTATACTTGTCCAGTATACTGCATATATCAGTCACATTACCCAACTTCAACTTGGTGTGGGTATGTCTGAGTAGCGATAGGCGGGTTATGAACAGCTTCCTTGGGAGAAACTCTGCTTTGGAATTACATAACTGTCCTAAGAAGAACAGCTTTCTGGTATCAATTGATGACTCAATGGAGTTCCAACCGGCAAGTGCGTTACAGATATCAGTCCGTGTGTTTCTTGGGAAACCCTGAGCTATTTTCAGACAGAATCTTTGACTTCTGCTTTAGAAAGCAGATTGTTCTTATTAACTTGATGCTTGTCGGTGTGTGTTGGTGTACACCAGACTTTATAAGAGCCATTGTCGTACCTCTTAATTCTGAGTGAGCTTCTGCTGATTACAAACACTACTGTCAACGGACCTACTGAAAGGTTCCAGATCAACTTCACTAGGCTGAGACACAGACATATGGTTTCCATCTGCCATAAAGTCACGGATCGTTTGTATTTTGTTCATGAAAAACTGCTGGAAGCGCAGTGGAAGAGCCTCAGAGGCATGAGATGATCAGTGGATCAGTGGGCTGACAAAGCACGAGGCTGCTGGCCGGTAGAACACCACTGAAGGCTGAGTGGTCAGTACCCTTTCTGTTTCTGTACTTTATGAGCTTCTTTGGAAGAGGAGGCTTCACTGTGTAAAAGAAGGAAACTAGATAGTGATCAGATATTTGGAGGTCAATTACAGTTGTGTCCACAACACAGCACACATCCTTAATAGACACAACCCAATCCAGACTGTGCCCACTCTTGTGTGTTGGAACTGTTACCAACTGTATGCACTGCAGGGATTCAAGGAGTTTTCTCCTTTTGAGGCATTGTACATGGCCTTCGTTAGCATTAAAATCGCCAAGGGCAATGAGTCTTGAATGCGTGGTACACTTTCTTTCCAGCAATACAGAGAATTCGTCATAGAATTGTTGAAAGGAAAGTTTATTTCTGGAAGAGGGAGGTGGTCGATACAAGGCAACAAAATTTGTTGCAGTTTTGCCAGCCGTTACGACAAAATCAAGACTTTCAAAAGAGGAAACTGAAGAACTATAGCACTATAGACTGTAGCACTAGGCAGCCTAAAAATCCTTTGTCCATCTAAATATTCACAAGATACTAACCCTGTCAGTGTAACAAAATGTCACACACCTCGATGTGGAACTTGCTAAATCATAACTGAAGACTACAAATTAACATTTTGTGAAGACAAACTCTTTACTGTCAAAAAACAACGTGAACTGCCGCAACAAATATGTTACCTATGTTTTAACATGTTCGGGATGTGGTGAACATTATATTGGGGAAACTGGTATACAATTTAAGGACCGAGTCACTGTTCACAGACAAGTTCGAGATCCTAATGTGCAACTTAAAAATGTAAGCAAACACACTGGTGAATGGCGGAGGGACTGTTTACTACGTTTCCGTTTAACAGTTCAATTTCACCCGTTTTCGAGAGAGTTTCAATGGACATTTAGTAAACTTTCAGGACAAAGAAGAGGTGTGTGTGTGTGTGTGTGCGTGCGTGCGTGCGTGCGTGCGTGCGTGCGTGTGCTCACAATGTGTATGTCGGACATCCATACTTCCTTTTACCGGTGCATGTATGTTATAATAAGAAGGTCACTTTATTCGGCTTTTTGTAGAATGTGTGTTCTTCGATTACGTTGAATTATTTTACAAGCGCTTCACTACTTTGACCAACACGCGAAAACAAAAGTATTATTCGGGATTGTAAGATCCCATCTTCCAACGCTTATCAAAAGGAACATAGGCATCGTTTTTCAGTCGACTGGCCTGGCCTATTTGCAGTATGTGAGTGAGTATATGTTTACTGAGGAGTGCGTGAGTAAAATGTGACGTTTCATCGGTGTCGGCTATATAGCGACCCGTCAATGTAATGAGAAATTGTTATGAGCTTCCTTGAGATTTGTGATATGAATATGAATACCTGTGATTATGCTATGTAGATATAGGTAAGATAGTTTCTACAGCATTTCCCCAGGAGATGTCCAGTTTAGTGTTATGACCTCGCTGTTGCTGTGTACTGGATACGAATATTTACGACCCGTGAAGAATCGGTCTTCAGTAACCCATGCTTGTCGTAAAGGCGACTAACGGGATCGGGTGGTCAGGCTCGCTGACTTAGTTGACACGTCATCGTATCCCAATTCATCCTCGATATCTCCAGGGTATACGTTACGATCACTCTTCACTATACTAATTATAGTGGAGAGTGATCGTAACGTATACCCTGGAGATTATCGAGGATGATCCCAATTGCGTAGATCGATGCTCATGTTGTTGCTTACTTGATTGTCAGGCCCAAGCCTGATAATTTACAAACCGCCGCCATATTGCTGAGTACGGCGTTTTTTATGAAGTTATGTCATCACGTCAAATGTTGTTTGTGATTAGGTGTAGTTTATTTATGAACCTTTTCCCAGGATAATTAGTTGATAATGTGTTCAGCCATTTTTGTAACGTATCAATTCTTTAGTGATGTCGATTTTGCCCAACAGACTGTATTAGGATGCCTACTGAGCGTGTCTAATTTTATTTTAGCAATATTCTAGCTATATCACGGCTGGGGACACCAGAACACGGGTCTTCGGCGTGACGAGCGAACACATTAACCAGTAGGCTATCACACCACCAAACAATTTGCTCGTCATATGAGCGAAATATTCTCAAGCACGACGTAAAACCCAATTTCACCTCACCTCACCCAAACAATTTGCATAGACATTTCAGCATCTATTTGAGCACGGCTGAAGGACTAGGGCATGCGGACGTAAAATCTGTTTCTTATTCCGATTACTGGTGAATATATACGCTTCCAAAACAGTTTGGGAACTTGAAAGATGATTGGTGTTTGACATGAAATTGGCATGTGTGCGATTTTCATTTTCAAACAAAACAAAAACAAACCCGGCAAGAAACAAACACTAACAACTGTGTGATGCAAGATGATTGTCAAAATTAATGGTCTATAGTGCTTGTATCGAACTTCTTGAAAACCGTCAAAATCAGGACCAACACGTGTATGGGGCTCCTGTGATATGCACGTGCATCCCATGCGCTGTGTTTAGGGGTGGTGATAAAGAGAAATGGTGGTGCGTTCATAAGATGTCTGTCTTTGAAAAGTTTGTTAAGCCTTATACTTCCAATCCAAATTGAAAGTTCAGGTTCCCCTACTTTTTTACGAGTGTAATATTTCCTGCCTCTGTGTAACATTACCAGCTTTTTTTAAAAAAACAAACATTCCCAACTTTACCCACGCATTACTTTACCTACGTTCAACCTTGACCGGGACCCATGAAGATCCGGGTTAGAATAATGGTCTTCAGTAACCTATGCTTGCCGTAAGAGGCGACTAACGGGATCGGGTGGCCAGGCTCACTGACTTGGTTGACACATGTCATCGGTTCCCAGTTGCGTAGATCGATGTCCATGCTGTTGATGACTGGATTGTCTGGTCCAGACTTGATTATTTACAGACCGCCGCCATATAGCTGGAATATTGCTGAGTGCGGCGTAAAACTAAACTCACTCACTCACTCAACCTTGACCGCCTCGACACAGGCGTCTTTACACAATGATCCCCACCATGAGGATATATTTCATGAAACAGTTTGAAAAACGCTGTACTGATCGAGTGAAGGAGCTTTCCGTCGCATCTGCAGCACTACAAGCGTTCAGGTGTATGGGCGTACGTGGGTGCAATATGTGAAGCTAGGTTTTGTTAGACTCAGTGTAGCAGTGTAACGAATAATACTGAGCCTAAGTTTACTCTCATTCCGACATGCAATCTGTCTGATCTGGGTTTTTTGCATTGTGTGACAGGTGACTTCATCTTAACGCAATGTTGTCTCTGGTTATTTAAATAAATGCGTACAAATGACTTATTACCTTTAAATGTGAATACATGACACGTTTTATGGATAATGACTTGTTATTCCTTATACGACATTTCACAGCTGATTCCTGCTCATTCATCACCTTTCAAGGTGGTAATCCTTAGCGAACTTTGAGTAGCATGTATCAAGCTGAAAAGTTGATGTAACTATAATAATTTGATATCTCTGGAATACTGCCCAAAGGAGCATTAAACTCAAGTCACTCACTCACTTTATGAGTACAATGTTTATGCCCATGTTTGATGCCTACGCCATGAAATTCACAAAGTTCAGTGAACCTGGGTCGAACGCGAGCCTGGGAAGGGGCTAAACAGCCGTGATCGAGGAGACGCTAGTTTTGATGAGTAGTGTATCGTAATAGAACCATGGCACCTGGCACAGCTATTCATTAACCTTCTGTCGTGTATGGATAACTGTAATCAGTGGTTTTTTAGTCCATCTGTGGTTTACACAACGTCAACACGTATATCCATTGCTTTACATATCATCAGCTATGTGCGAATCATGTACAGTTATCTAGTAGATTACCACAGCTTACATTTCCAACTCATATCCCAGGCTTTGCTCTAATTGACACTATCATTTTGAGTGTCTCTTTGAACTAGGAGAATCCCACACGCGAGATTGTATGTTACCACGCGAGATCTCGTCCCCAGGGGGAGATAATAACTGGACGTGAAACTTTTTATTAACGTCAGAGGGCCAAATGGTGTTTTTTTAAAGGAGGAGTACCACATTTCTCTTTAGTGTAGCGCTGGTACAGGTGGGTTCTTGAGATTGGGTATGAGATAATATCAGCAGGGACAGATACGGTGCCAAGTTCTCCAACATGGCTGGGATTTTACTTTTGATAGAAATAGCAACTGACGACATTACTGGGATTTAGTAGAATCTCCTTCGCACTGGCCGTGTATTCACGAGAGGACTAAAGACACCCCCTTAATCAAAAAAGAAAACACACACACACACACACACACACACACACACACACACACACACACGGAATTACAAGTCATTCAAGAAAACTAAACTAATTCATAAATATAACATGAAAAAATAGTTCGATTCATTTCAATGAAAATATCCGAGATACTTAGTGATATCACACAGTCGGTCTCACAGTCCATGAACCACATTATTTTCCTTACTGCCAAGCCCTCCCTGCAATGTAAAAGCCTCTAGTTTAAATCTCCCATCTCACTGGGGATCCTTTTCAATTTAAATGGGATTATTTGTTGCTATCAGAATTGTATATGTTCAGAAACTAAATGTTAGTCTAGATAGTATAGTAAATGATAATTACTTGTTTCCCTCAATGTACAGTGCAGTTCAAATCCAACATTTCCTCGAACAGGACCTTGTTACGAAAAGCTGTCAACAATAACGATGGGACGTTTATGTTCTTCAACACGTTCCAAAACGTTTCGCGTCCCACTAGTGATGAGTGAGTGAGTTTAGCTTTACGCCGCACTCGGTAATATTCCAACTATATGGCGGCGGTCTGTAAATAATCCAGTCTGGACCAGACAGTCCAGCGATCAACAGCATGAGCATCGATCTGCGCAATTGGGATACGATGACATGTGTCAACCAAGTCAGCTAACCTGACCACCCGATCCCGTTAGTCGCCTCTTACGGTAAGCATGGGTTACTGAAGATCAGTTCTAACCCGGATCTTCACGGGTTCCCACGAGTGATGAAGGTGACAAACGCTTCGTACATTAGTTCATGTGGTGGAAGAGTAGTCTGTCATACAGACCCTGAAGCAAATATAGCCAAGAAAGCCCACGCAAGTCTAGAAAATGTGGCAAGTCTAGATTTCCACAGCTTCTGAAATGAAAAAACATCAGGGCTCCTTTCAATATATTTGACTTTTTTACTATGAAGCTTTTTTCTGTAAAACATGTTCAGTTCAGAGACTAGTTGTTAGTCTAGTCGAAGAGGAAAAGCATCTCTAATGCAGGTCGCAGGAAGATTAGAAAAATAAATACGATATCTTAGATGTGGAAAGAGTAAAACCTTGTAAATACATGTAGTAAAGTATGCTCCATGTTTAATCGTGCCTAAAAGTATACGAGCAAAATGTGTTATTCGATGGTGTTTTATTTGTACTAAGTGTAGTTGTGTGTTGGGCCTGTGCAGTGTTTTGGCGACTGTTTTCAGGGTAGTGGTGTTTCGTTAACGTTTATAATGTTTTGGGCAAATCCCTTTTTTCAAATGTATAGTTTCCGTAACGTCATGTGAACCCAGTAATTTGTTGTTACAGTATCTGTATAGTGAAGCATAGTGTTTGATCCAAATACACTCCCAGATGAGTGTGTTCATAAAAAATGAAACAATTGCATCAGTAGAATTACTAGCTGTATCTCACACAGTGTTGTGTAATTAGATTGGCGAACATTCCACAGAACGCTAGAAAGTCTCGGGGGAACTATATCCTGCAGGCGCGTATACGTACAGCTGTAATTAGGCCAAGTAGTTCTTCCCAGGCTAAATTGACGTAAGACTCGGCCTATGCCCATTTTATTCAGAATGAATTGGCATAAATGCAGCTCGTTATTAGTTAGGAAAACAACTGTTGCCATTAGAATTACAGAGTTTGTGTTTTGCTTCGTGTTTGGATTGCAAATATTACAACATATCACCCTTTTCTGGCTTAGTTTAACGTTTGAAGTCACAAGAAAGACTTGCGTTGTCCTTTCCACCGAGAAGATATTGTGAAAAGAAGGTGAGTGAGTGAAAGAGTGAGTTTGCGTTTTACGCCGTTTTTAACAATATTTCAGAAATATCACGGCGGGGGACTCCAGAAATGGGTTTCACACATAGTACCCAAGTGGGGAATCGAACCCGGGTCTTCGGCGTGACAAGTGAACGCTTTATCCACTATGCTACCCCACCGCCATCTGAAGAGAAGGGCGGCTCAGTATATGAACGAGACTCAAACCGGCTTACTTCCGGTACCAGATTTCCGGTGACAAGCGTATTCAAGAACCAGTCCTGGTTCCAAATTGCGCGACCGCCAAATATGACTTTACTAGACAGGACCAAGTGTACAACCATGCTCGGCTGTCACAGCTGTTGCCAGTCGTAATAGTTGGCTAATTTGGGGATGGTTAGATCGGAAATTTGTTATTCCTGCAAGGACTCTCGGCTCCTTACGGTCAACTGACAACCATGAGACCATTCGAAAAGGTATGAAACGTTGTTTGTCACCGGGAGTACCAAGGTCTCGCGAAGTGCCGTGACCTACTTACATGGCTTTATTGCTTGAATATTGCTAAATCAGCGTAAACCCAACACAGTACTTTAAGTCAGAGTCGCCCCATCACCACATTTGAAGCATCCTACTGGATGACAGGCTGAGAATATCCGAATGTTGACATTATCACAAACGGTTGTAATAATGGTTTCCAGATATAGAAAATATATATTTTAGATAAACTTAAAAATAATGCGTTAATACAACCAAGAGTTTAAAATTGTATTATAATGTATCGATTAACTCGAAGACATACGATATCCTACTCCATTGTAATAACTGCCAGTCCCTCTTAGTGACCACTAATCTAAATCATGGTCATCCTGTTCCCTGAGCGTTCGATCGTCACGAAGAACACCCGGGTTCGATTCCCCACATGGGTACAATGTGTGAAGCCCATTTCAGGTGTGCCCCGCCGTGATGTTGCTGGAATATTGCTAAAAGCGGCGTAAAACCAAAACTCAGTCAGTCAGTCAGTCCCCCGCATTGATATTGCTGGAATACCGCTAAAAGCGGCGTAAAACCCAACTCACTCACTCACTCGTCCCAGCCTGTCTCACAGTCCCTGAACCATATTAGTTTCCCTTGTCAAGCTCTTTCTACAATGCTAAATCCCTTAATGAAGCAAGTCTAGGTTTTCTCCCATCTCAATGTGGCTCCTTTTCAATATAAAAGAATTTATTTCCACCCAAATTATATATATTCAGCGACTAAACGTAAGGCTAGCTTCGTCTCACCACTGTCTCAAGATAGTCTTCTCAAGTTCAGTTCGGAATTTAAACTCAACCTCGACGGTTTCACAGAATCTAACCAAATTCAATGTAACTGCAGGTATCCCTCTGGTCGTTGGGGCATTGCTGTATAGTTACCAACCCGCCCCATCCCCCGGGGAATGTGGAATATGTGAGTACAGAAGTGTTGAGGGTTGGAATGTCTGTAAATCTGTTTCTACCATCTCTGATTTCAGACGATACGGTCCTGCTGCCGACGACGGGCGACTCCACACGCCCAGGCAGAAGGTGATAGGCCCCGGGCTGTACAACGTGCAAGCGAGTGATGAAGATTGGGACGTGGCTGTTTATGTACATATTTTTTGTGTAAAACTCGTGTTGTCTATGTAATGTGACCTATTCGAAATGGGAAACATGCTGCAAAACGAGTTTACATGTTGGTATCTGTAT